CAGGTGTGTGCAGGTGAGCTACAGGTGTGTGCAGGTGTGTACAGGTGTGTGCAGGTGTGTGACAGGTGTGTGCAGGTGTGTACAGGTGTGTGACAGGTGTGTGACAGGTGTGTGCAGGTGTGTACAGGTGTGTGCAGGTATGTTACAGGTGAGATTTTGGTGGTTACCAGGTGATTTTGGGGGTCCCAGGTGAGGTTTGGGGGGTCCCAGGTGATTTTGGGGGTGCAGCTGAGAGCCCCCCCAGGTGTTCCCCAGGTTTTGGGATCCCCCCAGTTTTGGGCTCCCTCCAGATTTTGGGGCTCCCCCCCTATTTTGGGTCCCCCCACCCAGTTTTGGGGTCCCCCCCTATTTTGGCTCTCCCCGGTTTTGGGGTCCCCCCAGTTTTGGGTCTCACCTGGTTTTGGGTCCCGTCCGCCCCCAGTTTGGGGCTTCCCCCCCCGGGTTTTGGGGTCCCCCCGGTTTTGGGATCTGCCCTGATTTTGGGGATCCCCTCGGTTTCGGGGTCCCCCTGACTCGGGGTCCCCCAGTTTCGGGGATCCCTCCCCGATTCGGGGTCCCCCCAGTTTTGGGCTCTGCCCCGATTTCGGGGATCCCCCCCCGATTTCGGGGATCCCCCCCTGGTTTCGGGGATTTCCCCCCGGTTTTGGGTCCCCCCGATTTTGGGGATTCCACCCCCGGTTTTGGGATCTGCCCTGATTTTGGGGATCCCCCCCTGATTCAGCGTCCCCCCGATTTCGGGGATCCCCCCCTGGTTTTGGGTCCCCCGTTTTGGGATCTCCCCCGCTTTTGTGGATCCCCCCCCAATTCGGCGTCCCCCCGATTTCGGGGATCCCCCCCTGGTTTCGGGGATTTCCCCCCGGTTTTGGGTCCCCCCAATTTTGGGATCTCCCCTGGTTTTGGGGATCCCTCCCCAATTCGGGGTCCCCCCGATTTCGGGGATCCCCCCCCGGTTTTGGGGATCCCCCTCCCCAATTCGGGGTCCCCCCGGTTTTGGATCTGCCCCAATTTTGGGATCCCCCGCCCCCCGATTTGGGATCCCCTGGTTTTGGGCTCTGCCCCGATTTCGGGGTCCCCCGTTTTTGGGGTCCCCGGTTTTGGGGTCCCCCTGACCGGGGGTCCCCGCAGTGGCTACCACCGGCTGAAGGAGGGCGCCGTCCCCACCGTGTTCGCCCCCGGACCCCCCCGGACCCCCCGGCCCAAGCCCCCCCCGGGCCGGGACCCCCCAAAAACGACGCGGGGCAGCCGCAGGTGGAGGTGAGCCGGGCCCGGGGGGGTTTGGGGGGTCCCGTGGGGGATTTGGGGGGGTCAGGGGGGGATTTGGGGGGCTTGGAGGGGATTTGGGGGGGATTTGAGGGGGATTTGGGGGGGTTGGAGGGGGATTGGG